AAAACACAAGAACAAGAAAATATAGAAATAAATAGAAAAAAATTAAGACAGAAATCAACAGTAAAAGAAAAAAAAAGAAAACAAAAAATTGAATGAAAAATCAATATAGTAGGAATATTATTTAAAGGAAGCATTTGAGTGTCTAGCAAAAGAGGCTATAACTAAAACAACAGTTTGTTTACAAATATACCAGCATATAATGTATCTGGAAAAACTAAAAAAGAATATATAAACTTTATCAAGTGGTCACTAAAAAACAATAAATATGTCAAAGACATCAAAGAAGTCTTTAAAAAAAGAAATTTACAAATAAAGATAGACTTTGATTATAAGTATGAAAGAAGTAAGGCAATACAAAAAATCAGCAAGAAAAAGAATAATTGGTACAGAATGATTGCAAAAGAAGAAAAAGTAAACAAGAAAGAAAAATAAAAAAATATATATAATAAAAAATATTAACAAGAAAAAATCAATATACCAAAAACTAAAAAAAAATACAAGTAGGAAGAGAATTAAAAAAAGCCAAAAGAAAACCAAACAAATATTAATAAAAAGAAAACACAGAGCCTAAAGTATATAATAATCTGAGATCTATTAGCAAATATAAACAGAAAAGAGCTTGAATATATCTGCAAAAAATTTAAAAAAGCATATATAATAAGAATTAAGAAATTCAAATACAAGTTTTTTACAATAGTTTAAATAAAAGAATTAAAAAAAGAAGGTACTTTATAGTTTGTACCAGTTAATAGTAACAAACTGATAAGCATAACAGAAAATAAAAAAATTTATAAAGCAAAAAATAAGCAAAGTCAGTATATAGCAAAATTAACAAAGCTATTAAGCAATGTTTTAGAAATTCTACTCTATATTGCCTAAGAAGCAAAGGTACAAAATTGGCTTATATTTCACTGAACAGAAATAAGAACTAAAAAAGAATAGCAATAATTACATTTGTAACAGAAAAAAAATAAAGACAGCTTAATTAAGACCAATTAGATATAAAAATTTTCAAGTATTCTGATTAAATAAAAGAAAAAATAAAAATAAAAAGAAGAGAAAATTTTAGAAAAAAAAGAAAAAAAAGCTAGAAAAAAACTAGTCAAAACTCAAATAGAAGATATATAGAAATAAGAATTAATCCTCAAGTACAAAATATAAAATAATGATTAGGAGATAGAAACACAATTGCAAAAAAAGAAAGAAACTAAAACAGAACTAGTTAAGTTCTAAAACAGAACTAGTCAAGTTCTAAATAAAAGATATATAGAAATAGCAATTGATCCTTAGATACCAAATATAAAAAAATGGTTAGAAAATAGAAATACTAATATAAAAAAAGAAAAAAAAAAAGTAACAAAAAAGAAAAAAAAATCAGATACACAAATACAATTAAAAACAAGACAGATAAAAAATGTTTTAGACCAAATTTTAAATAGACTAAACTGATTAGAAAACACTCAGCTAGGTATAAAAAGGACCTGGCTAATTACTCCTAAGGGTGCTTTAGTTGAACTTATAAACACAGATAAGAAGATTGAAGATTTTCTGCAAAAAGAAAAAAAAGTTTTGAAAAAAAGAAAGCAAAGACTAAAAACACAAAAATGATACAAAAATAGCTGAAAAAGAAATAGAAAAAAAGAAAAAAAAAATTAAAATTGCATGTCACAATATTAATAAACTCAAAATCAAAGCTTAAAAACTAAAAAATTTGTTAATTGAGTAGCAAAAAAAAAAATTGTAATCTGATAAAAACAAATTTTATAAAAAAAAAAGATAAATTTTTAACATATGCTAAAGGCAAAAAATATGTAAAATACTGAGTAAATGCAGCAAAAAAATAACAAAAAAGGATTAGGTATTAGAATTTTGGTAAATAAACTATAGAAAAAACATGTTGATACAATTAATTGAATATATAATAGAGATTACACTATATTTTAAATAACTAGAGTTTTGTAGTTATTGTAGTTTATATACTACTAAATAACAAAGTAATAGGAAAAAGCATTTAGCAAACAATTATAAAAACAGTCTTAAAAAAAATAAACAAAGCAAATAGTTATAATGCATGACTTTAATTATATGGCAGACAATATATTAAATAGACAACATCCACAAACAACAAATTACAAAAGACTGCCAATTTTTAATTAGATAAAAAAACAGAACTTTAGTAATATGTATAAAGATATATACTTAACAAAATAACAATATATATGATTAAATAAAGAAGTGGCAACAAGAATTGACTATATATGAGTGTTAAAAAGATTAGCATCAAGATTACAAGAAGCAAAAAAAATTACAGAAAGTAACTATAGAATAGTACTAGTAAAAACATAGATTAAACATTTAATAATAAGAAAAAGCAAAACAGAAACTAAAAAGAAAAGGCAGTTAAGAATAATATATTTGTATAATCAAGCAAAAACATAAGACTAAGAAAATTATATACAAGAGTTACAAAACTGACTAGAAGTAAAAAAGACCTTAAAAGACATTCATAAGAAAGAAGATGATAAAGATAGAAAAATAAACAAAATAAACAATATTTGCAATATATTGTATTTATCTGCCACAAGTATTCAAAGTATTTCCCTAGTTCATTTTAGTACCCAGAGTACTTGGATCAGGAAGGTATACTGTATTAATGAGAGTACATATATTAATGTTTTTTCTGTGCTCTGATTTGATGCAAAATGTAATTGATTAATAATCCATATAAGACTTTTCTTTTAAATGTTTACAAATGATACTTGTCTGAAATTGTGTTTTATATCTCTTCAAAAAAAAATTTTTTGTCTTTCATATAAGGGCAGACCTTGTGGTTCTTGAATTTTTTATTTTTGCAACATATATATCTCTAAACACAATCATGGACTGATTTTTTTTTTTTATAACCCATGTACTTTAAAGACAACACTTTTTTTTTTTTAATAACATATAAGAGTAAGTGGATGCTTTTTGAACTTTAATTATTCTATCACATATGTTACCGAACTTACAAATCTTTTTTTACCTTTCAAGCAAGACACCTTCTAACATGATAGGTTTAAACTTTCTTTTTTTTTTTCTTTATATGAACACCCCTGAACATAATCAAAGTGCTCTTGTGAACAATAAGTTTTACTGTTGTTCATATAAGGGTAGATGGGTTGGCTTTTTTAGGTCTGAATTTTCTATAACACACATGTCACTAAACTTTCAAACCTTTTTTTTTGCAAAACTTTCAAACTTTCAAGCAAGACACCTCCTGACTTCATATAAGGATGATGAGTTTAAGCTTTTTTTTTCCATATGAACATCCTGGACACAAACAAAGTGCCTCATAAATAGACAGTACTCTTTAGGCAAAATGCTGATACTTTTTTTTTTTAACTTAGATGGGCTTTTTTTGAACTCAAATCTTCCATAACACATGTGTCGCTAAACTTTCAAACTTTTATCTTTCAAGTGAGATGCCCCTAATTTTTTTAACACTTAATTTTTTTTTTAATGTGTGTTTAATTTTATGCACTAGAACTTTTTTTACATATGCCTTTTCATATATACTTAATTTTTTTTTAACTTCTTCAAAAAACTTTAATTGTTATATAAAGGTGATAGATAGTTTCTTTAAATATAAATTTTTCTATAACAAATATAACTTTGAACACAATATATAGAACAAAACCTTCTGAACCTTGAGATGTCTTCATGAAAAAATATTAGATGTGCTCATGTTACTAATAAACATTGACATTCATGAAGTGTTAAAGAAAAACTTATGGTTCTTTGTTATTTGGAGCACATTAATAGTGTGAGAGCAACTGCAAGATGCTTTGAAATCGAACCAAAACAAGTTCATTATTGGCATGACAAGAAGCAAGAACTTTTAAATGCAACATCTTATACTTTAATGCTCAATCATGGTTAGCAAGCACAGTACTCCTTGTTAGAAGAAAAGCTAGTAGATTGGATTGAAGAACTTTACAATATGCTGAATGCTGTTACTAGAAACATGGTCATAAGAAAGGCTAAGTCTTTGGCCCAGACTGATAAAATTAAAAATGCTTACCCTAACATTAGCAGTTTTAAATTTTTTATTAATTGGTTAAGTTGGTTTTTACATTATAATAATCTTTCAAATTGTAGATGTACAACTGTCATGCAACACTTTCTGGCAGCTCTAGCTGAAAGACAGAGTGAATTTTTTAGCTTAATTTTGTTTAAACATAATCAGTACAACTATCCTGTTAAATATATTGGTAACATGAATGAAATGCCTTTGGCATTTGACATGCCTAGTCCAGTAATCCTTAAAAAATATGGAGCAAAGACAGTAAGCATTAGAACAATTGGTCATGAACAATTATGCTTTACTGTGATCCTTGGGTGTCTTGCAGATAGAACAAAGCTTCCATCTGTATATATCTTTAAGTTAAAAAATATTCTTTGTGAAGTCTTTCCTCTGGGTGTTATTATTAGAGTAAACAAAAAAGAATAGTGTAATGAACATGTGATGCATGATTGGATTAACAATGTTTGGACTGAGCATAGTCTATTAGGAAATTCACAATTCTTTTTCATTTTGAATGCCTTTAAAGGTCACTTGGTAGACTCTGTTAAACACTAATTCAGTAAAAACAATACCCATCTTGCAGTTATTCCATATGGAATAACCAGTAAATTACAGCTTCTTGATATTACAATTAACAAAAGCTTCAAGCATTAGGTATATTGAAAATTTAAACATTTTTTATTTATCATGTTTTTATGAAATAATGCACAAGGGCATTATTCTGATAAATTAAGCATATTAATAATAACTTTAAACTTATCAGGTGTGTTGTTGCTACAATGAATAGATAATTAATGCAATTCATCAATTAACACCTTTCAGATATATTAGAAAGCCATCATATGCTACATTAGCTCTATAGGTAAAAGAATTATGGAATGAAATTAGCCCTTGTTTAATTCGAAGTGCATTTAAATATTATGGTATTTCAATATAAATGGATGGATCAGAAGATGATTTGGTCTTTGATTATGAATTGTTAAATGAGAAGAATGCAAATAATGAAAATTTGAAAAAGTATTGAATTTTAATAGTATTAATAGAAATAAATATGAAGAAGTCGAGTTTGATAATGTTTGGGAATAATAACAGAATTCAATGTTTGTTTTATTTCTAATTTTACTTCTAAATGTAGTAGCTTATAATATTAATTCAAATTTATAATAAAGTATTTAGATTTAATAAATAAATTTGAATTACAAAATTGGTTAATAATTTTGTTATCATTTCTATTAAAATAGGTTTGCTTATGGATATGGTTTGCAGACTTAAAATTTGATTTTATAAAATTTGTTTGGGCAAAAATTTTTGGTAGGTTTTTTTTTTTTTTTTTTGCTAAGGCCATACTTGTGACGATATTTTATTGACTTTATATCAGGTTAGTTATTACAACTATTTTTACAGAGATGAGAATACAGCTAGTTACACATGCAACTTTTGGTTGCCTATTTAAGTAGTTTGCCCTAAAGTTCTACACTAGATGCCATACCTATAACCTACTAGGAGTTTATCTATTTAAACCCTCTGATCATCCACTCTGTCATTTTGGAATCCCCAAACTTACCCCCATATATACCTACCCAGTATACCATCTGAGCAGTATAGTACCTACCCTTTTTGTACTGGTTCCTAGGCTGTTACACATTTCAGAGTACGTCACCTGCCAGTAAGGTGCAGGGGCCCCCCAATGTTAACTATCTATTTACTTTTAGAACACTAACATGGGCTACCCTTACAGAGTTCACTCAGACCCCAGTACTGACTTCACAGCATATCCCTAGTACTTTTAGTATACCTCTGCTTTGAACCCAGACTCCCAATCCAGATAGCCCAGAAGGACTGTGACCTGTTCTTGGTATATTGAAGCCGGCTCAATATTCTTTTCCTCTAGTCCGAAATCTAGCAGCCTGGTTGGTGGTACCCCTCACTCAAGGTTCTTGCCTGCCCAAATTCTTCACATTGGTATCCATTTCCTAGGTCTAGCCTTTACAGTAGTACTGTTAAAGATCTGTATTACCTCTTTGCTCAAAATTTCCAGCTTTCCAGTTCTATGAATTTACACAGCCCAAGGACTTATTTTAGGTTTGCACTGCCCAGTACTGGTTTGCATTCCTCTGTGTAACAGATTACACAGATGCCCCAGACCTGCCAATCATGCTGGTGTGACCATAGTTACAGGTATCCTATCCCAACTGATTAACAAAATGCTGTCGCCGTAATACTGTCTATATATTATATAAGTAATTATTCAAATTTCGCTGTCGGTAGGTTTTAAACTTACAATCTACCACTTGGAAGTATAACAACTTATCCACTTTACTAAGTTACCACACTCTTTTGGCTAATGTTAAATTTCTTATTTTATACAGAAAAAGAAAAATTTTGTAAATTTTTCATCTTTCTTAATCCATTTGGTATTAGATCTTGTTTGCTATTTTTCAGAAAGTAGCTGAAGTTCTTCCTGTAACTGTAACTTAATGTTTTTTTTAGTTACTATAATTTTATCTGTATTTTTACTTTTAGCTATTTTTTTATCCAGTTCTGTAAGTTTTTTTTGCAGTTTTTATATTTTCTTTTCAAAAGAAGCTTGTGGGTAAAATGCTCTTATTATAGACTATATCCTATATTTGTATAAGTTTCACTTTGTAAAATCATGAATATTTGTAACTTCTTCTATTATTTCATTTTTAAAAAGACTGTTATTCTAGCTATTTTGAGAAAATCTCCATTGTTTGACTCTAGAGGATGTTTGTGTAAGTTGAAGCTTACATTTTACAAGCAGATGATCTGAGTTGCCAAATTGTGTTACAATGTTCTGACAATGATAGATGTGATTTGCATCTATAAATATATAGTTTAGCCTAGTGGCTATTCTATAGTTTTTTTGAGTATTTTGATAATATGTTAAAAAAGGTTCACTATTATTCATAGCTATACATGTATCTACAAAGTTTGTAATAAGTTCTTTAAGTTGTTTTCTTATAGAATCATTAGTTGCTGGAGCATAACTAATTTAATCTTTTTGTAAATTAAGATTAGTATTAAAATCTCTTGCTAGTATGTTGATATATTTCTCTTCATACTGTGGAGTCTACATATTAAAGAAACAAGTCCTATTTTCTACATTTGGTGGTGCATATATATTATTTAAAAGAAATAGATGTTGCCTGTATATGAATTTTGCTATGATTACTTGATCATTATGTAATTCCTTGACATTATCAAAGTGAATATTTCTGTTTTCTACTAGTATTGCAGTTTTAGCTGTTCAATAGAAACTGTAATTTCATTGTTATTACAAAAAACTTCTTGTGTTTACATTTTCTAAGTTGGTTTTTTGAAGCATAATTATATCTATTTTATATAATTTTAAAAGTGTAAGTATTCTGTAAGCTTAGTTTCTGTTATTTAAACCTTTAATATTTAAGGTTGTGATTTTAATTGGCTTAATCATAATTAGTATATATAAAGTGTAATTTAGAACCTATTAGTTTTTGAGTTAAAGACCTTTGCACAGGTCGAATAAAGCTATACTAGAGAAATATCAGAATGCCAATATTAATCAAAATTAGTATAAGGTAAATATAAAATTAAACTGATATTTAAATCTAATATGTCACTAATATGAAACAGAAATTTGGCAGAAATCAGATACCTTTCGGTATTATTACAAAACATATCGGAAAAGTATCGGTAAAGCATCCTAAAATTAAAAATAATATTGATTTACTGATATCTTTATCAAAAAACCAATATTAATGTTAATGTTGTAATAAAATTTATTAAAAACTAATAAGCTATAGCAAATTTTAAAGTGATAAGTGTCAAGTAGAAGATCTTTTATTTAAAGGAAAATAAAATAAATAAAAATAACTAAAAATAAAGAATAAATATTTAAAAATAGAATTTAAATTCAATAGCCTTCTAG